ACGTTAATTAAAACAATTTCCGTTGCTTGTACAAAGAAAGAAAAAGTTTTAGTTGGAAAGTGACAGATGGCTGTAAAAGTAACTCATTTATTTAAATAACGCAATATTGTCTGCGTCAAGTAGCAATAAATGTGAATAAAGTGATGCACTAAAATAAATAACCAAGTAATTCTTTTAAGTTCTTTGAATATCGGAGCCAAATTAATACTGAATTCTGAAAAAAAAAAAACAGACACTTTGTTGATAAGGGAAATAATTCAAGGCATTATATGACGAGTTATTTCCCTTGACATACGAATGCAATAAATTTAGACTTTAGAATAAAATAATTCTGTTTTACAATGCCCTCCAATTTCCTACCTGCTTAAAAGGGTATTGTCTGTATGGCACCAGTTTCAGAAAATTAACCAAACAGGTTAGTTTATAATAGGTACCTCCACTAAATTTTCGATACCTAGGTTTAAAACGAATTTTTAAAAATGAAAATGCATTCTTCAAGATTTCTTTTTAGGTTTGATTGAAAGCTAAATGATTAAATTTACTATTTCCAGTAAGCAAAATACTCTGGTGTATTTCAAATAAAAATTATATTGATTAGAATTTCAACTTTTTGGTCACTTTCAGTAAAGTCATTAAAATCGGCCATTCTTGACACATTTTTAAACAAAACTTAATTCTCGGTTTCAAAAATCTTTAAAGTATAATTAATCTGATTTGAAAAAATATTTAAGTTTAGAATAACAGAGAAATGGATTTTTAAAACAAACAGTAGCAGTGATTATGCACTTATTACAGTTGCTTGTCACTCATAGATCACTTAATAAGTGATGATAAAATGTGTCAACACCTTTACTGTTGTTCTACAGCAACTTTATCTGTTAAAACACAATTTTAAAAAAATGACAGGTGAGTGCCATTTTTAAGTACTCAGTAATCTTAAAAATGTTGAAAAATATTCTCTGTAATCTAATTTTAGGAATGTTGGCTTTAAATTTACTATAGTCATTGCTCTTATGTTCTGATAATGTCATGCATGATTGATCATACTTTCAAACGAGGGCACGTCCCATAATAAAACATACATAAAAAATAAAAATTTTTTTTTTTTAAATCTTGATGCAAAATGACTTTTGGTAAGCTTTTCAATTTTTGATTTGTAAATATAGTTTTCACTTAATAACAATATCACCTAACCTAGGAAAAGTAATGCAGGATTTTATAAGATTTATATAAGTAAAATTTAAAAACAAAAAAAAAAAAATATTCTTGTAAAAATTGATTATTCATTGAAAAAAATTTATTTTTACGACAATAGTGTCTGTAATAAATCTTATTTATAAAAGCAATTAAAAGCTTCTCTAATTAAATAATTAGATAGTTTTATTGCATTTTTTATTTTACAATTCAGAGCAGATTTTGGGGAAATAAGTAGTAGTTTGAAAAAAGAAAAAAAATTGATGATTTACATTCTCCAAGGAGTCCTGCTTTTAACTAATAAAAAATGTAATTTCTCAAAATATCATAAAATTAAGTGTGCGGCAGGAACATATGTAAAAAAAATTTAAAAATAATTTCATTCATTTGTTTAAACTTAAAGTATTGAAGGAGAGAGGTAAGAAACCCATACTTTGACATGTCTCGCTGTTGATCAAACTGTGCCATCAGGAAAATGAATTCTATTATTTTGACCAAATCTATATTGGCAAGACACCATATGATTCTCATTCATATGATGAATGATGGACTTTGATTTTTTTTACACTGATCAGTGGAATGTATCAAAATGTGAGTTTTTAAAATTGTCTTATATATTTACTATTTTGTTGAATTCTCATCTGAATTTAAATAATAATTTCAAAGCAGTTAATGGATTTTAGTAATAATCCAACATTATTTTTTATTACATTAAATGTCATATTCAGTAGATACATGTTGTTGAGTAGATATATGTGTTCTGTTTTTTAAACCATACAAATTATTAAAAAAGATACTATTAAATCCAGATGGTGGTCCCAAACTTTTGACCTATAGTATGTATGTGTGTATGTGTATATATATATATATATATATATATATATACACACACACACACACACACATGATACATTTATTAAAAAAAAATTCTAATTTTTGCTTTGTCACTTAGTTTAAATTTAACGTAGGTCATATTTGATTGGTTGATCAGAGTAAAGCACACAAGCTTTATAACACCCTTTTTTCTTTTTTTTTTTGTAAAAAGATGCTGTGTTTTACTTTTAAATAAATTGTTCACTCACCAATAATTTACAATCGTCTGATGTGTTGATAAGCATTGAAACACGACTGCAATTCCATAGCAATTTTTACATCTTTTTGGTGTAATATCCTAATTATATATATATCCAAGTATATAATTGGTGTATACGGAATGAATTCCAATAACCAACAATTACTATTCTTAAATGAGTGCTCAATACATCATCACTTGATAAGACACCAGAGGTGTTGAAACAAAATGGCTATTTTTGTAATGATTTTATAACATATTTATGTTATAATTTTTTTAAATAAATTATATATATATATATATATATATATATATACATATACACACACACAGAGTGTGCGATGGGTAAATTGTTGCCATTTTATTTTTATTTTATGCATGCGCATTTTTTTTTTGATTTTGTCAACTGCACACTATCGTAGGGACAGTTGGGCACCATCTGTGAGAAAAAAAAAGCACCATGACACAATTCATGCCACCAGAAATTTTGAAACAGCATGCTGTAACTGCTTGGCATTCACATTGGAAGCTCTAACACGAACATTTCAGAGTGTTTGGGTGTCAATCTGAAGACAGTGCAGAGGATTCAGAAAGAGTTGGATCAGTCTGATGGTGATTATGAAGGTGTTTGGAGTGATCACAAGTGATGGCGACGTTATGCCTCCATTCATCTTCCCACAGGTACTCAGACTCAACACGGTGGCCTACATCAAGTGCCTTGAGAAGGTAGTGCTCCCCTAGGTCAAGTGGGTGCCTGCTGGAAGACCCTATGTCTAGCAACAAGACTCTGTACCATGCCACACAAGCAGAAGAATCCAGTCATGGCTGTCAGACAATTTTTGTGGCAACATCATCCCTTACATCTGGCCATTTAACTCCCCAAATTGCAACCCCCTTGATTATGCATGGGGTGCAGTTGAGCGAGAGACCATCAAAACTCATTGTAACACCAAAGATGAACTAAAGGTAAGGATTATGGCAGCATGCACCAACTCAAACAAGGAGAACATCTAGAAGAGTTGCAGGAGATTCTGAAATCGTATGTGTGAGTGTGTGATTTCTTCCAATTATATATGTATATGTATACATGTGTGTATGTATGATTTAATTTGCAGTGAGAATCCAATGGGATGTTGAATATGTAAGAAAATTTGGAAACTTTATCAAAAAATAAATAAAATCCAGCATTCATATGACTAATGTGAATTATGTCCAGTCTTGCCAATGTAGATTTGGTTGGAATAAAATCCATTGTTCAAGTGAAGCTGTTTGAGTAGCTCAATATATCATTTTGGAATCAGGCAGACTCCATGAGCAAATTGAAAACATTCTGGTCCAGATCTGGACCCACAATCCTGAAATTTGGGATTCCCAAGTTTTCATTACTGCGATTCTTTTACGTGATTTTTTGCAATGATTTTTTTTTGTACAATAACAATTTTTATAACTTGAAAATAAATTGGTGAAGAATCATAATTAATTGCAAAATCCAGTGAAAGTCACCCATGAAATAAAAATAGTTGCTACATAATCAAATTGTTTTTAAATTAAGTGGTGGTAGAAGAATTATCATTGAACTTTTAAAAGGTAAACTTAGATATTAATGCAATACTTAAATGCAGCAATCAATTTTGATTTCTTCTGTAGTTTATTGTTGCCTATTGCATTTACTCCTCCCTAGCTATTGTGATGACTGCAAACCAAGAGTCCTCCACAGGAGCTAGCTTAAATGGCACCCAATAAGGCAGCTTTTTTCCCTTATATATATATATATATATATATATATATATATGTATGTGTGGATAACAATATATAAATTTTTATATATCAAGAAGGGTTTTTTTTATATAACACATTGGCAAGAACTAAGAATTTTTTCTAATTGTCATTTTTAAACCAATTTGTCTTATTTGCAGAATTATTTCTAGGAAATTTAACTGTATTGTTGACATGGAAAACAAAAAACAAACTCTTTGTAAAAAGGAAGTTAACAATACCAATATACAGATATAGGCTTATGCAGGAGCATCTCTTTTTTAAAATTTTGGATTTGATGTAACTATGGCTATAAAACATTTTGCTATCATTGCTTGCCTTGATAAAGTTGGAAAATGAAACACATCGGCAAGAACTAAGAATTTTTCCCAACCAATTTGTCTTATTTTCAGAAATATTTCTGGGAAATTTAACTATATATATCTGAATATATGGTTTTAACTTTATCTGTACCATTATAGAAAGTCACTTAATTACAACTCAATTTTTATTTATTCATTTTCTTCAAGGTTTTCATATCTCACATCGAATATTAATAAAAAAAAATAAATAAATAAAATAAAAAAAATTAAAAAATAAAAAAAAATTTTTTAAAATAAAAAAATTTTTTAAAATAAAAAAAAAAATAAAAAAGTTAAGAAACCAAGCTATTTCATTATCTTTCCAGTTCTTACAAATAGTGAAACAATATGGAATGCATAAACCTTGAAAGAAAAAAAATATATTAACACTTAAAATTACAGAAGTTTCCAGAACAAATTCCTCATACATGGGAAGTGCTGAAAAGTTCTTGACCCATGCAAGAAGCGATATATATATTAATTAATCTAATGTCTGATTAGATTTTGGAGAGTTTGTCAGGGAGAGAAACTTTCAATACACCCTCCCTTGTATCGCTCTTAATAAACTTAAGCTTTACCTGACTTTGGATTTGGGATGGAAAGGAATTTTATCCTACCTGAGATTGTGGTGTAAACGAATTTTTACAGATACTGTAAAGTCTTCTCCTTCTACTCGATTTTTGGTTTGTTGAATAATGTCATGGACAAGTTCTGGTTTTCTAAGAAGACAAGCTCCGTATCCTTCTGCTTGGGCCCATCTGGAAAATTAAATAATAAATTTCAGCTACACTATACAAAGACATCAGATAAAAATAAAAGAATGTACACTATTTATATTATTTGGACTCATCTTTATTGTCACATTCACAATGTTTTGGCTCTTGTGTGCTCGGACTTCTTCAGGATTTGTCTATATTTCTGAAATGAGTTAGTGTAATTATTTAGATTGTTCAGAGTGTTGGAATTTTGAACCAAACCCTTTATTTCATCCACTGGTGTAGATTGTTCTAGTTCCACATGCCATGTCTTTCCTGGATATCTTAGTTTCAATTCTATCTCTTTAGAAATTCAACTCTCCACGTTTTTGTTCACCTCTGATGTGGCCAAGTATTGAACTTACAACTCTGAGTCAAGTCACTGGATTGCTTCAACCAACTCTTTTATCCACTGGGCCAAGTGTCCTTGGGGTTCAGGTCAAAATTCCAACATATATCACCTGAAGAAGGCTGGAGAATATAATGGCCAAAACGTTTTAAATATGACAATAAAGATGAGAATAATAGTCCAAATAATGTAAATAGTGTACATAATACCTCATCTCAGAAATATAGACAGATACTGAAGGATCGGATAAATATGGCGACAAAGATGAGGACACTAATGTAAATAGTGTACATAATACCTCATCTCAGAAATATAGACAAAAATAAGTCTAATTAATATTGAATTTCAGAATTTATTAAGAGGAACAAAATAAAAGTGTTATTAAATGAAAGCAGAATCGAAAGAAAAGAGTAAAAACAAAAGGACGTTGTCATGACATCAGTTCTTTTCTGTTCAATCTATCATGTACTGATGAAGAAAAATATTTGTAACTGTTAGATTAAATCTCATGAAAATGAAATCATAAAATGTTACTAAACACCCCCCCCCCAAAAAAGCTATACGTCCATCTCACAAGTCATCTGAGAAAGAACAAATTTTGTAAGGCATTCCTGTATAAAAAAAAAAAAATATGAGGTAATCAACAATGCTTGTTTGGACATCAAAACAGGAACCCATCAATATAGGTAATCTCTAAAACATACATCCAGCAATTATTTGAAGATACAGAATGCAAACCAGAAAATCTGCCAGGCATAATAAATGCCCATGACAATTGGAGAGAAAGAATCAAGAGGATCCATGCAATTATCATTATGACTGGAGTAACTTCAAACTTGACTGGGTACAACACACTTGTGATCTAATGTCAGCTTAGGTAAGCCTTATACAGCCTTGACATGAATTAGTTGTTTTGCAGGCTTTTACTATTTTAGTAACTTCAGGACTCACTTGGTGCTCCAGATTTGTCACCTTTTGCCATACTAAATTCAGCAGAGTATTGATAAATTGGTTTATTTCCTATGGCTTATAAGCCCTTTGCAGGTTATTTAAAGCCAGAAAATATTTTTAAATTCTAAGATTTTTTTTTGAGATAATAATGGTTTATTGATACACCTTACTAATTAACTCATAGCTGGGGGAGAAGAGGTGGATTCATACCTTTCCCAAGAGTATATGCATGTAAGTGAATATAACCCAACAGGAATTGGAACTTGGCTCTCTGATTAACAATTCCAAGACATTATCTATTACACCATCTATAGATCCAAGTTTATAGCACCTGGTCACCCATCTAGGTACTAACCAGGCTTGACATTGATTAACTTTGATCATACAGGAACTGGTGTTTCAATATGATATGACTGTAAGCCTTGAGTAAAGTAAAAAATATTCATTAAATAAAATGCACATAATGACAGGATTTCAATTTTCAGAAAGTTTTAACAAGTGAAAGAAAATTTTAATTCCTTGCCTTTGAGGACAGCCACAGTTAAGGTCAACACCATCAGCATAGCTGCAAAAAAAAAATACATGAAGTAAAAAAAGTAGTAAAAAAAAAAGAGAAAAAGACAAGAATAAAGAGAAAAAGACAAGAATAAAGAGAAAAAGACAAGAATAAAGAGAAAAAGACAAGAATAAAGAGAAAAAGACAAGAATAAATAATCAGAACTAATTTTAACCCATGAAATTATCATGGTCTTCCTATTTTAATATTCTAATAAATCTTAATTCTTAAGTTAATGATCTAGTAAGCTCATGGCGAGTCCCATGACAATAAAATATCCATAGAAATTCCCCAATCACATCATTAAATATTGCAACAACTATATGAATGTAGGTAGTTTAAGAAGTGGGTACAAATAAAAAGATTTAAAACTGACAACTTTTTTCATTTCACTAAAACAGCCATTAAACACTTATCGTCTCTTCTTTCTTACATTATCTCACTAAACCAAGTACTGTCTTTATCCCTCTTTCCACTCAATAGTCCATTATTTATGAGGTATTGGCAAGAGACGTTAAACACTATCTTCCCATCTTTCTTTCATATACCCTGTTTCCATACGATCAAAATGGAATAGTCCATTATTTATAAGGTATTGTCAGGGTGTAACAGCTGTGTGAAATAATGAATAGAGGGATAAGCAGAATTATAATAGGTTCATCATGTTTCATTGCTGTTGAAATTATAAGAAGCCATCAAAACCCTGACAGACAATCTGCTCATCAAAGGTTTCTGGATCCTGCAAGACAAAGTACCAGTAAATAACTCCAATCAGGGCTCCCATAGATCTAAGTAAAAAAAATTCCAGGACTATGTTAATAAATTTCAAGGACTGGAACTGGTGTGCACTGTGTGTGAAGTGAATGTTCATCAATTTCAAAAACAAACTTTGTGATTTCTTTTAATAGTTTGACAGATGAGATGTTCAAAAAAATGCTACAGCTGGTTACAATTCATGTCATATGGATCAGTTGAAAGCAGTGAAGAAATCAAATCGTTGAAGGCTAAAACACAACTGAATGCAGACCTGGTTATGTTACACAGTTTGTGTAGTATTCTACACAGTTTGGAGTTCTACTACACTTGAAAATTTTGAATTACACACTTTAATTCTTACTGCTACACATTTCAGCTATCTAGAATATTCATGGTTTGTGAATGTCACAAAAATTCTTGACTGCTGCACAATTCCTGTGAAGTTAAATATAATGGTTTTAATGAACGGAATTTTTCACAAGACTACACATTTTAGCTTCCCCTACAACTCACGACACTCGTTGCACATGGCACAAAACACAATGTTAACATTTTTTTTCAGTTCATCTAGTTTAGCATTCAGCTCCTGTTCCAATTTGGATACCTCTATGGATTTGTCCTTTGCAGATCTTCACATGGAATTGGACTTTGCAATAAGTGTGATGTTCTGAGTTTGCCCAGTTTTTCTGCTGTCAGCTGTTTTGAGCAAATCTTGTATGCAACTTTCAAGCATGTGTCTTTTGGTCTTCAGTTCTTCAATTTCCATAAGCATGGATTTCAATTTTTGTCCAGTTGCTTCCTGCCTTTTTTTGCTTCTCAGCCTCTAAGTATTGGTTGTATGCTGCTCTGGAATTGGAAGCACTGCAGAGAAGAGCCTTAGTCATGTGAACATTACCAGCACCTCCAACTGTGGCCAAAAAGTCTGATAATGCACAATGAGACCAGAGTGCACTGTTTTAATATTGTCAATGGAAACTTCTTTATTGACTGAGAGACTTCTTTTCACTGAGGTTTGTCCATGAGAGAGTACCAGCAATCTGCAAACAAATTTCCACAGTTTTGATATTCTTTATTGCTAGACAAAGAATACAACAAAAGGCCCAAACAGTCTTTATTCTTGAGGAAATTCTTGAAAGCAATATTTCTAGCAGCCTCCTCCTTAAAATCTTTGTATTGACTGATGTTATCACAATCAAACTTGCTGACTTGTTTTCTGTCCATCATGTAGGAAAGATCTTTTTCGATTATCTTCTGTGGCAGATTTTTTTTTCACAAATGGATCCAGTGTTCAGTCATGCGTGTGACCTTACAAGAAGGTATCTAAGAAGAGACTTTGCCAGAAGTTTTTCAATTTAATCCATTAAAAAAGAAAATTTTTCCTTTTGTCTTTATTAATGTGTGTGTATATATATATATATATATATATATATGAAATGGACTAAGTTCGACAATTATTTTAATATATCTTCTGTTTATACATTATTTTTATAGATACAAATATTTAAGCAAATGTTCTGTTTATAATAAACAGTATTAACTACATTTACCGGTCTGAATTGAATGTCCAAGAAATTTCAAAGAAAATATGTGTCCTATGAAATTTCTGACATTCAGGCAAGTAAATGTAGTTAATACCATTTATTATAAACAGAGTATTTACTTAAATCTTTGTATCTATAAAAATAAGGTATAAACAGTATATATGTTTGCTTTGCTACTATGTCTGTGGAGTTTAGCTTTAACAATATCATGTACAGACAGATAGATGGGGTAGCTATGGGCTCTCCTTTGGGTCCCGCTTTGGCCAACATTTTTGTCGGCTTTTATGAGTCGTCCCTCCTCACTCACGACAATGCACCATCTATGTATCAGCGATATGTGGACGATACATTTTGTCTTTTTACTAGTGAAGTGGAAGCTGATTCTTTTCTTACAGTTATGAATCAACTTCATCCATCCCTAAAATTCACCATTGAAAAGGAGTCTAATTCATGTCTCTCTTTTCTTGATGTACTTGTGCATCAGACTCCTTCTCAATTTTTACATCGTGTTTCAGAAACCAACGTTTTTCTGGTCTGTATACGCGTTGGGACTCATTTTGTCCCAGGAAACGAAAAATCAATTTAATCAAGACCCTAACTCATAGGGCCTTGATGATTTGCAGCGATAAATTTTTGGATGAAGAATTAAATTTTATCCGCCACATTCTATTCCGTAATGGATATCCTAATGATATTCTTGATGTTGTTATGCGTGATAAAATTAATAACTTTCGAAAGGAAAAACAATACAGTGTTCAGAAATGCCGTTTATCTACGGCTTCCATTTATTGGTTCTCGAGGTGAGCTTTTGGCTAAGCGTATCTTGTCAGCCATCCATGACTGTTTTTTCTCGGCTCAACTAATAATTCATTTTGCGACCCGTTCTGCCTTTCCCTCTATGCGCAAGGATCCTCTTCCTCCCCATCATGTTTCCTCCGTGATTTATTTTTTTAAATGTGGTTGCGGTAGCAACTACATAGGAAGGACGTCCCAGCGTCTAGATTGTAGGATCAGGCAGCATGTCCCATTACGAGTTCTCAATCCGGAAGCTCCTAAAAGTCAGTTGGTTAACACTTCCGGTTCAGCAATTACGGAGCACTTAATAAATTGCAGGGATTGTGCGAAGAACTTCAGTCCGAATTGGTTCACTATTCTATCCAGTTTGCACTCTCTTTTCCATTTGAAGGCACTTGAGTCTCTATATATTCGGTCTAGGGGAGCCATCTTTGTGTAAGCAAAGAGACTGTCTCCTTGGCCTACACATCATTATTCTCTAGTGTGTTTCAAATTTCCCCTCACACACTCCGTTATATATACATATATAATTATTTATTTTTTTTTTTTTTTTTTTTCTTCACTCGTTTATTGTGTATATTTGCACAGCTTAAAAAGGAAGGAATATATATATGTGTATAATTTAATTTTTTTTTCCCCTCCATACCATTAATCTTTCATTTTAAGTTTTAATTGTATGTAGGTTGTGTGTGACTTATTTATTTTGCAATTTTGAGAAATAGTTCCCAGTTGACCCTGATGAGCTTGGGAACAAAACCGTTGGTCTGTTTGTATGAGTTATCATCTCTTATTTTTTATTTTATTTTCATAAAGCCTTTAAGAAATAATCCATATTTTTCCTTGCAATATATATATATATATATATATATATATATATATATATATATATATATGAGGTGCTTCAAAGTTATCAGTTTCATCCACTTCTGAAAATTAGCATTCTCATGTATGGTCACTGAAATACTCATTTTGGGGAGTTGGTCAGACTTTTCAGCACTCTCATATGTATGTAAATAAAGGCTGTAGCGGAATTAAAAGTACTGGCATACAGTTCTTTGACATTTGATCTCATCCTTGCATCTCAATTCACTAATAGAATGAAAGCGAGTTTCACTTGCTGGGGATTTAAAATACCAACAATTTGTGAAATGTATTTCTTTAAAAGATTTCTCAACTTCAGGATTCTGAGTAACAAATAAAAAGCTTAGAATTTTCTTTTTAAATTCTCTAAGAGCTGACAGCAGAAAATCACAGATTTCAAGGAAAAAAAAGAAAAATCAACAAGAATAAAATAATTCAACTAACGGTAAGACAATTTCAGCTGCATCTGCATAGTCTTTGGCACAGTTGGCAGCAAACTGGACAATGAGTGGACGGTCAGCTAAAATGGATAAAATAACAACTGACAATTGGTCATCTTTAACACTTCTTAGTTTCAATATCATTTATTCATAAATTTGGCTCATGGATGGGGGGAAAAAAAATAAAAAAATAAAAATAATTTACAATTTTACAAATATCAAAATGAACTTTCTAGTTACTCAGTACAATCAACTTGACCAATGAAAACATTTTAAACTACACACTTAACCCTTGATTAGTAGTGCAGGGTGTTTTAACACCTCCATAAAATTATTTTTCCTTCATATTTAGAAAGTGTCAAATGTTCATGATGAGTTAAGTAGGTTTCTGATACCTTTGTCAAGTCACTATAAAGAGTTTCTGGTTGTTTTATGGCATATCAAAACCTCAGTGGGTCATTTAATGCCAACAAAATTTTTGAAATAGATTCACAGCAATAGTTTGGTAAAAAAAGATGTGTATGCATACATATATATTTGAACATTTTTTAATTATTCATATTTTTGAGTACAATCACATGTATGGCTGGTAATATATTTTTTCAAAAATGTATTGCTGATAATATTTTTTTTCAAAAATACATTGCTGGTAATAGTTTTTTTCCTTCAAAAATTTATTTCTGGTAATAAAATTTATTTTTACACTTTTATAATGCTTTTTACCTCAGTTTCGGGGTTAACTATTTGCCCATAGCTGGGACCGTAACAGGTGCTACCACCCCGGCTCAGGATGTACCTGGGAACACCAGCATTATTAAGAGGCGGTTCCACGCTCCTCAAAAACCTTATCAGAGGCCATGTTGTTGGACATAGTTTATTGTCATACCCAGGACGCCCCATGGTGGAGGGTCTTACCCCTCTGCAGAGGTGCAGTTGGCATATTCTACAGCCCCAGCCAACAGGGCGAAAGAGTTTCTGGTTATAGTCATAAGATATGTGTAAATTACAGGCACATGACTGTAAAGTAAAGACTGTAATAATTTTGGTAGAAATGTCTGCAAAGGTCATAGTAACCTTATTTATTGCTTGGAATTTGAACAAAACAAATGAAGATGAGTCAGATTGAACTGTTTTTAAAAATAATCATACCGAAAATAAAATGTAACCTATTTTTGTGTATTTGAATTTCTGAAACTTACTAATTCATTTTTATAATATTAGCTTTTCAATTCAGTTTTTCAAAATAAACCTAATTTTTTTAACCAATAAAAAAAAAAAAAAAAAAAAAAAAACCGCTAAAGTGCTCTACAAGAAAATTAACCTTTAGCACTCTGCATTATTAATATGACTTCCTTTTCCACGGCATTCTTTTTCAATGCCTCTCAATTGCAATATCTTTATTGTTAATTTCCCTCAAAGTTGTTTTCTGTTGCCATAGAAGGATATGACAACACAACTATAAAATTAAAACACTATTCTTCAAAGATCAGAGTCACTTTCAGTGGCAAGATAAGCAAATAAAGTCACATACAGAGTGATAAAGATTAAGAACTAAATGATATACCTATAATATTTGAAATGGTGTGTTTGAAAACCCCACAGTACTAATGCTGTGACAATGTCACACAGTTCTGACAGAAAGTTAAACTTTTAATATAAATGGTCCTGAAAAGCAGCTTAGTATGGTGTTCCTGTCCCCCACATTGCATATCCCAAATAAAAATAATAACCATGGTACAAATTCTTGGTAAGAAGTCATACTCTAAAAGAACAGTTTTTTACCTTTACAAGTTGTGAAGTCACTGTCACGGGCCTTGAGGGAACACAAAAAGCTTTTTGATACAATCATTGGAGTGTAAGTCAAATCAACATCATACCTACGAACCAGTAAACGGAATGGTAACCTGAAAAATATTTAAATTTATTCAGTTGACAAGCAACTAATATATATAATTATACACACACAAACACAGTACCAACAATTCAAAATTTGATGACACTTTTTTTTTTTGTCTGAATTTCTGGAATGAGAAGTTGTCATTATTTCGATTTTTGTCCTCATCTTTGCTGTTTATATTACAATTTTTTGGCTGTTGTGCCTTCCACAAGTGAAGCTAATTCCAAATTGAACTATTAAAAAAACAAAGGTATTACTATAGTATGATATCTACAAGACATTTGCGACCTTGTCAGATGTCCAGAAATTGATGTCGCTTTCTTTCAGCAATACGTCTCGTCTCACTGAAGCCTAGAAGAGCAGTGCCCACGTCCACTCACCTGGTTTTTAATAGGTAGTGTTGTTCTCTTATGCAAATAAGTCTGCTGCATAAAAATGGCAGTAGGCATACGCACATGCGACCGACTCTCAGAGAATGATTCGACACACGAGGCAGCGAATTCGTTTTGCTCCTGGTAAGTCAGTCACATCTATTACAGACCTACAATAAATGACTATGTACTCATTACTGGAAAAATGACCTATTTGGTTTTTTTTAAATGACATTAAATCAGTTTACAAACATTAAAATCACTATTCGATGACTTATTTTTTGTATAAAAAATTGTTAATGATTTTTAATACATAATCAGTTCACTGTTCACTGCCTTTAACCCTAATCCTATTTCATACTTTCAACAGTTGGTAAATATCATACCATAGTAGAAAATGGACATGAGGAGCAGCCTAATCAGCAGTGATGAAAAACATGAGCAGCAGCCTAATCAGCAGTGATGAAAAACATGAGCAGCAGCCTAATCAGCAGTGATGAAAAACATGAGCAGCAGCCTAATCAGCAGTGAAGGTTAGGTTTAAAGCTCCAAGTTTACTCCAGCAAATTGCCCTATGGGATAAAAGCATTGGTATGTGAATTTAATGATGGTGGTTGTGAGTTCAATTCCTGTGTTGGGTAATGCGTACATGCACTTAGTGGAAACAGGTGAGCAATAACTGAACATAAGAACTAGACAATATCTCGAGAGACAAGCAGTAGAACAAGAACAGTCTACTCCTGTAGATTAAATAAAGGGTTAAGTTTGGAATTACCAGATTGATATACACCTGTGGAAGGGCACAATGACTGAAACAGATTAAATTAAATAAAGGGTTCTGTTTGGAATTCTCTGTAGATTACCCAAATCGAAAATACACCTAATGAAGGCCGAAGAGCACAACAGCCAAAACATTACAACAAAGCAAACAACAATAGTCTACATGTAAATACTGTAAATACTAAAAATAATGATTTCATTAATATACCGAGTGTGAGAGATAATAGTATTTTAAGAAGTGTACTATGGATTAATATGCTAAAAAAGCTGGAGTTCTACTAATGTTTTTATAACTTCCATTTATGCATTTCAAACTCTGAGAAGTAGAGTTGTTTGATTTAAATCAATTTCAGAAAAAATCTTTATGTAAAGCAAATATTTAGAAATAAAACAATTTTTTTGTTATTTAATTTCATGAAGGAAGAAAAGTGTTAAACATATTGAATCAAATATTTATTAATCAACTGAATATATATATATATTTTTTTTTGACTATAAAATAAACCATTAGAAAATTTTAAAATTTAACATTAGCAGTGTTTGCATTCATAGATTTAAATAGAAAAACTAGTCTTGCTGCTTTATTTGTACCAAGATTGTTTCTCAGTTTGGAATGCATCAGTACATAGGTCAAGAAAACTTATTTATTGCCAGAAGAGGAAGATACTGCTGACAGGAGTTGCTTAACCACAAAAAGTATATCACTGATCAACACACCTTCAAATTTCAAAGTTAAAAAAACAACACCAACAATAATTGAAAAAAACAGATCTAAGTTTAAAAAAAAAAAAGTTACTAGTAACTACTCATAAAAAAAATTACAAGATTATTTATGTACAAATCAATCATATTTAGCTGATGATCACCATGTCAAACTGTTATAAGAATATAATAGTAGTATGACCTTATCTGAAAAAAAAAAAAACTAACAAAAACAAGATTAAGTTGAATGTAGTTTTTTACACCTGAAACCCTCAAAAAATAGTAAAAATTAAATGTAGATTTTTATTGACTAAATTGGGAAAAGTCAGCTAGATTGCCCTTCTTAATCTCTCAAGTTAGCTTTGCTCTTTCTTTTCCTTTCTTTGTGAAAAAAAATTTTTTTTAAATTTAAAAAAAAAAAATAAAATAAACCACACTGCTGAGAAGTAGCATTTAACCTTTTTTCCAAGTCTGCTTGGTGGATTAGTAACATATTTTTCTCTATGCACCAGTGGTTGATGTTTGAACCAAAGTCAAAAATATACAAGTTCTCAAAGCCAGTAATAGAAATGGTAATATTACCCATTTCCATACAGGAGACATTCAGCATTTATTGACCAAACAGTTAATGTTACTGTCAGTTGGAATTTATTTATAAAATATTTATTTATAAAATAGTTTTTCAGACAAATGGGTATTTCAAGTCCACTAGTAATTATCGTTATCTTAGTATTGAAAGTATGTGGTGGGGAGTGTAGGCCCTCCTCATTTGGAATCTTGGTACAACACAATCTTTCTACTCCAATTTCTCTCCCAATTTGATCTTGTGCTTAACTAAACTTAATAAATATCTATAATGAAAATCTTGATGAATAGCTGTAAGTCCAACTTTGTAATTGAAAGAGTTGTTATTTATTTACTAAACTTATCATAATCCTGAGAAAAGGCCACAATAATACAGCACCCTGTGTGGATTGAATTCACTACACATGAATTGGTTTGTGAGATAGGCTTACTAGCCATTGCTCCATTGCAGGGGCTCATTGTGCTTGTGATAGTTACTGATTTCACTCATGTGTCAAAGGTAGGCTTTAGGGAGCCTAGGTAAAACATACGCATTCAAACACCAATTCTTTTGGGGACAAGCAGCTCCTTCCCACTGAAAATTGGTAACAGCTTTAACTTTTGGCATTGTGCTGAACTTAGCCAGGCTTAGTAAATATGAGGCACTTGTTAAACAAATGCAAGTCTGTAGTTGTGAAGAGTTTCCCTTCCTGAAAACTAAAAACATTTAGTAGAGGTAAAAGACCTTTTCTTTTAAACAAGGCGTCTCAATCAAAGAATAAAACAAATTAAAAAAATTTGGTTAGGTTTTTCGGTTTATAGACACTAGTTGAGTTATTCCATTTCAAAAATCCAAATGAATGGATAGGCAGACAAGGCCCCCGGCTTACACTCTAAAAAGCAGACTTACACTTATGTCATTGTCAAATATACCGTAAAAAGTTAAGAGGGCAGGTGGTCTTCGACCTTTAAAAAATAAATAGATATGGCTCTAGCTAACACAAAAAGGGAGACATATGTCGGGTTTATAGTCTGTAAGTACTAAGTACCCATCCGGAAAGAAAGGGTGTTTTGCGGTGTTGGCTAATACAGAGTTAGTCACCGAAAGTGTAAAACACTTTGGGGTTTGTTTTTATATATATATTAAAAAAAGCTTACTTGGAATAGCGCACCATTGGGGCACAAATCTTAACCATGTCTTTTTCTGCAAAAAGTTCCAGAGGTTTTTTCCATGTAAATTCTTCTTTGTCATCACCGCAACCATTAGCATCGTTTTCAGTTATAATATTGCTTGTATTCATCTTCATAGCGATTTCTATACAAACGGCTTGCTTTAATTCACTCACTGTAGTTTGGTCAGTAAGTCTAAAGAAATAAATGAATAGATAGTTTTAAAAAAATAATCCAATTATTACCTTTCTTTAGTTACGTTTTTCGTTAATAAGACTGTTGAAAAAAATTGAAAATAGAGAAAATTATGTGACGTGGTTTCAAGGTTTATATTTTAAAATAAAATTTAGTCTAAAAAAATTTATTCTGCATTTGAGAGATAAATAGGAATATGAACTGACATTCTTTTGTTAAATGATTTTACTGGCTAAAACACCTGACAAGATTTCACAGGTTGTTTGCAAATCCACATGTCAACAAACCGCGCTACCATTTCACTTGAAAATTTATTACCTTTCAACACAGGAGAGTTACACTTCCCAATTTAGCTCGGTGGTTAAGGCATTGGTCAGGTGGTCTAGCGGTACTTCTGAATACGTGACGGTTTAATTGATCGAATTATTTCCTAATTAACGAGAAACTTCATGCATGGAGCTTTTTTTTTTTATTTTAATTATGTAATTACAGTATATAAAATTTCACTTTCCTCTCGATATATATTTTCCCAAAGTTCCTACTTTTTACAAAAGCAAGTTATATTGGGTGGCCAAAAATACTAAGTTCCTTCCTTTTTTTTTTTAGTTAACAAAAAATAGTTATTTAAATGTTTTTTTATAACCGGTAGTTGTTAAAGTAAACTATCTTTTTGTCATCATTCAGGAAACTTCAAAATTTCATCCTCTCAGAACATTTGTGGCTAAAGAAATGCTCATCAAGTGATTTTTTTTTTTTGTTGTTGTTTTTTTCATTAAGTAATTTTTATCAGGATCGGACAAGAGAGAATTTTAGGGATAAAAAAAAAATGATAACGTGGAAGAAGTTTTCGTGTGACGCGTTTCATCTTTTAGGACTTTGTCAGACTTAAAAAAAAGAAATGTGATGTTTGTGATGGGACTACCGTACGTAACACGTGCATAAAGGAGAGGAGGTACTGAAGATTTTTTTTAAAATTTAATTTTTTTAAATATATGTTTGGGCACTTGGGTCTCTAGTCGATTTCATTTATCTTTGTTTTCCACTTTGTCACAGTTTTTCCCTAAAATTGTTCTTAAATACATAAAAATTTATATATCGTTTATTCCCTATTGAATACTCACTCACTAGCAAACCATGAGGCGAAGTAACTATTTTGCGCACTTCGACGTGTATTAAAAAAAAATTTAAGTCTAACACGCAGCTGGTCTCATTAGAGAACACTAACAGTTAGAGAACTAAATCAATTAGGATTCCGATTAGTGAGTTCGATCCTCACTGACCTTTATGCTACATTGGCCTTTTACATCTAAGCTACGCTTAGAAAATCATCAATTTGGTCTTAGATGTAACAATTCTTATCAGATCACCAAAAAATTACGTAATCCCGCGTTATCCTAAAAATAACGGCACTACTTTTTATTAAATTAAAAATAGACTCACTTTTTACAAGTGGGCCAGTCTATATTGAAGTAGTTCCAAAAATAGTTTTAGTTTGAAAATATAAAAGAAAAACACTACCAAACAAGTAAGGAAATTTGAGGTAAGAAGACTAAGAGAGATTTTTATTTTTCTGGATTAGGATTTTTTTAGTTACTTAGTTCATTACTCAGTGGAGGGAGAGATTGTGAACTTTATTTTTTAATTTAAAAAGATAAATATTCTTATATATTCTAATGATGTAGCACAAAAGAAAATTATTTTTTAAATTGGGAATTAATATTTTATTAATTCCTAATTTTAAAAATAATAATTCCTAAATTTATTTTAAAAGCAGCAACCATCCTTTTATCGGTACAAGCAATTTAAAAAGGACAAGATTATCACCCGCTCGTATTGTAAACCTTTTCTCTTGCAAATTGAAAGTAAAAGAAAAAATACAACAAAATTTGTCGCTTTAAAAATAAATGAACAAACTGGTCGTAAAAATATCCAACAACAGAAGTTTTAAAAAGATAAGTTTAAAATTATTAAATGAAAATCATAATTAATAAAATAAATTTTAATAAATTCATAAAAATAAATATTTTTTAATAGACCTTTTAGTAGACAAGGGCAATTTAATTTTCCATCCAATGTTTAAAAGATTTTAACGAAACTCAGATTTTTTTATTTTATTTCTGTTCCAATTTTCCCTAAAACTGAAGGAAACTATAAATTCGGACCTTAAGGTGATAATTTGAGGTCATAGGTTACTTCCGGTTTTATGAGGTAAGAAGACAATGCACATGTTTAGTTTGTATCCTTTCCTTAAAAAGAATATGATGAAGAAATTCATTTCTATCACAGTTTTTTTTTATATTATTTTTCATATAAACGTTAGTTTTTTGGGTTTCTTTTTTTTTTTTTTTAAGTCTGTTTCATTTCTCTAGAAACCACTGAACGATTTCCGCGAATTAATTTTGAAAGTTGTGGAATCTGTGCAATCGTTTCATTATTTATTTGTAACTTTTTTTTTTTTTTTTGACTGATATTTATTTGTTTTCCTTTATCTATAAATTTCGTACTAATTTGGAAAACTTAATAATAATAATTCCTCAGAACAGGAAACTGCATGAAATTTAGAGCAAAAAAACTTATTTGGAGAAATAGCGAATACAATTGAGTTTAAAAGTCGCCATTTTACAAGATAAGTAAACTTTACACGAAAGAGATTTTTAAACAGTTTTTTTTCTCATACTCGGTTTTATTGCCATTTAGTTTTTTTGTAGTTTATTTCAATCGATAATCTGAAGAACAATAACCAGTTTTGGGGAGAAAAGAAATTCGCTGGTGTTTCGTTTAGTAATGCAATGAATACGATAAAAAATCGTTTTCCTCCTGAGGATGTTTAAAAAATTTGTAATTAGAATCTGAACAGTAAAAAATCCTCTTTTCCGAACAATAAGAATTGTTTTTACATTTCAAATTTACTTTAAAAAGGTAAACGTATTTAAATTTTATTTAGTATTTATTTTATCTTCACTTAAAGTACAAACAATGTTTTTTGTTTTTATACAGTGCTTCTGAGAATTGAAATAAAAATAGCTTCCATTTCGTGGTAATTTTTGTTTTTATTTTTAAATATTTTTCGATGTTTACTTTAATTTAAAATGTTTTTTTTTTTTTAGTTACATTCGAATTTTTTATGGCCGGTAATAAAGTCACAATTTTGGCTCTGAAACAAAATAAAGTCACAATTTGAATTAATTTATGGTGGCCGGTAATGGTCATCTATTTCTGACGGGTACTTCATGGGTTTATGGATCTGCTCTGTCTACAACAGAAATTCATAAACAAATCGATCCAACCTGTAAATAACGTTTTCTAACAATGTTACGGTCATATTCGAATTCGATATATTCCATTAGTTAGGGAGTCTTTGTAGCCCATAAGACCCAACACTTGATGTGAATTGTGAAGAAAATCTCAATTGACATTAAAATTTGAATTAAAAATGAATTTTCAGATTATTTACTGCTAGCTTAAAAGCCGCCACTATCAGGCGGCATTTAAGCTAGCTCATGTATTGTAAAGGGATCTAAATTGGGCCTTCATCACAATAGGTAGAGAGGAATAGATGCGATAGGCAGCAATCTGCAGAAGAACTCAAAATTGATTGCTGCATTTAAGTATTGCATTAATATTTAAGCTTACTTTTTAAAGTTCAAGGATAATTCTTCTGCCGCCATTTTAATTTAAAGACAATTTGATGCATGTAGGTCCTTATTTTCTGTACAAACAATTATTTCATGGGTGACTTTCGATGGCTTTTGCAATTAATTTTGATTATTTCCAAATTTATTTCCAAGTGATAAAAATTATCATACAAAAAATTTGTTGCAAAAAATTGCAATAATGAAAATTTGGGAATCTAAAATTTCAGGATTGCAGGTCCAGATTTGGCCTGGGATGTTTTTAATTTGCCCATGATGATTCCTAAATGATATATGTTGGGCTATGGCCTCTAAGAGTAAAGTTGAAAAAGTGTGACACTGTGACATTCGCATTTCATATGTGACTGGGATTTTGTCTAATGTGTGCTAACCTTATTAATGTCCAGTTTCTTTTTTACTGTGACTTTTTTTTAACCTGTATTCGAACCTTTCTATGAAAAATATAATAAAATTTTACTATGTTTTCTCATGTTATTAGAGGCTACTTTATTCCTGATCCATATTACTTAACAATCATAGCATATAAAAACAGCCTAAGCAGTTTACCTCAGTGCCCAGAAAATTTGATAACTATGTAATAAAAGTTGATCGAAAATTGATTTTAGGGCCATTCTGGAGCTAAGTCCCCTCACCTATATTTTTTAAATATAGATGAGGCTATATAGTTTTTGCTTATTTAAAAGAAATAACTATGTAAAACTTAATTTATTTACTACTTTTTTATTAAAATAATTTGAAAAGATACAAGAACTTAACTTTAACTTAGATAAATTGATTTTATTTGCTTGAAAAGAATAGAGTATAGTAACTAATAGTAATTAAATAAATGCTTATTTAAAAATATTGGGTGGGGGAGTACAGCCCTGCTATTGTCACAGCGGGATTTTTATCTGGACTGGAACCCATGATTTTTTTTAGTTAATACTTATTTAAATGTGGAGGGGCTAGCCACCCCCTCCAGAAAGTCAGGGCCTGGTATTGTTATAGTGAGGATTTATCTAACCCCCATATTTAATACTTTTTAAAAAATATTGGGGAAGGAGGCCTAGCACCCTTCTGCAAGTACGGCCCTGGTATTGTTTTAGTGAAGTTTTATCGAGACCCCACAATTTTCAGTTATTTAAAAATATAGGGGAAAGTAGCTTAGCGTCCAAATCCCCACTCCAGAACAGCCCTAAAATCAATTTTCAATATACTTTCCTAGTTACTGAATTTTCCTATTTTTTCAAAATTACCGAATCTTCCTAAATTTGATTATGACAATACCATGGAAGAACAAATTTTAAATATTTTAGCACTATTTTTTTAATAATGTATTATACAATTTTTTAACTTGAAATATTTAATTTTTTCATTCAATATTTAAGAATTGAATGAATATTTTTTATTTTTATTGTGGAGCCTGAATTCAATAACTGAAAATCCATTAAAAATGCTTAGAGGTTACTTGGGTGCTGTTGGTGTTCTGCTACATGTTCATTTGTTGTGTACTGCTACAGACTTAGTAAAAAAAACGAAAAACACATTTTTTTTAAATCTATTTTAAATAGGTACTCCTCACCCCAAAAAAAAACACATA